AGGCCGTTTTTGGAAAAACTGCGCCAAAAAAAAAAAAAAAAGTAGTAACTTTTTAAAATAATATCATTTTTTATAATTTTTTCTTTTTTTGATTACATTGTTAATTCAATAAATAAAATATTGTATAACATTTTTTTTTTATATTATATAGACTGAATTGAACCGTATAGACCTAAAACCAATGCAAGATGATACTTTATCCCAGAATGTTTCCAGGTTCCTTAGTTATATTATTTGTTCTGTAGACTTTCTAAACAACAAGTGTAATATGCAGCCATGAGTGGCATGTAAATATACTCACTGAACCAGTGGCATCAGAGTGCAAGTCTGATCTGTGCTCTACAGCTGTCTCGGCCTCCAGGATCTTTTCCACAGGCATCTCCTCATTGGCTGAACTGCTGCATTCATAGTCTCCATCCCGTTCCTTATTCTTCTGACGCTCTTCCTGAACAGCTGGGGGAAGATAAAAGAGGGGAAACTTATAAATGTCAAGGAATCAACCCGGCCATCAGTAACACACCACTGGGTGGTGTTGCCTAGTGGTCCATGATCTGGCCTGGAAACCAAAAGATGCAATTCAAAAATAATCACCATTGTGTCACTGAGCAAGACACTTATCAGCAGATTGCTGCCATGAACTGTAAGTTGCTTTGGATCCAAGTAACATCGAAATAACTAATTACCACCCAAATGACTTTCAAATGTCAAGACAAACTTCAAGGACAGACTTACATTCTGTTTATGACAATGCAAGAACAATTACAAATACAATTATTATTTACAATTATTATTGTATAAAAACAAATAATTGATTATCAATTTTCTGTCAAAAATCTTCATGGAAATAATAAGGAATTTAACCATTTTAGTTCCAATTGCAATCACACTTAACGATTCTCTAGTAACCTTTAGTCCACATAACACAGCAATAGTTCTCAGCTCTTCAGATAATAATTCATGAACCACACAAAGGATTCAGTGAGTGAGGCGTTGAATGCAAATATTCAAGAACCATTAATGGAACCAAATGTCAAAATCATCAATATCATAAGTGGTTCTCAGTTCCCAACCCTAGTTTTTGTCCTGCTGGTTGTTTCCCACCCACATAACACATGCTTTCATTCAGCTGTCATGAGCTGGGGACTAATAGGCTATTTGTTCTTACATTGTTTAACTAAACCCAATCAATCCAGCAGTCATTGTAGCTCCATATAATCATTGTGCTCCTCCTAACACATGCTATGACTGACACCATCTTCTCATATGAAAACAATGCAGAATTTCCATGACATAATGCCGATCTACCATTAAGCCCATTCAAACACCAGCTGCATTACATAATGCTACTACAGTGCCTTTCACCTGACACCATTCTCCACCTACAGTACCTATATTTAATGAACATACAGCTTGTGTATTACTTCATACTACAGATGACATATCTTTAGTGGAAGGCTGACAGGTACCCACCCTCTCTTTTCATTCCCATGGCCAGGCACTTCTGATAGCGGCAGTACTGGCAGCGATTGCGCTGACGTTTATCGACCAGACACTCCTTGTTGTCCCTGCAGGTATAGCTCAGGTCCTTCCTGATTGTGCGCTTGAAGAAACCCTTACAGCCTTCACAGCTGTGCACGCCATAATGCTTCCCTGCACACACAAATTATGTTCACATTACCTCTGAGCTGCAAAGAAATTTCATTTTTCAAAACATTCAATGTAAACAACATCCCCTGTATAATGATGCTACTAGGGTCAATGACACATAAGATTGCTCACAATAACAATAATAATATTAATACATAATAAATAAAGGCAAATCTAGTTTAAAACACATTATACATTCTTCACATTCTTAGAAATGTATTAATTTTAGTTTCGGAGAGTTATGAAAAACTTTCATACCATTTTCAAGATATAGTCAACCTTTTAATAATGAAGTCCATTTTACCATGATATTCAAACAATAAATCAATGCCATTTTGATGCTCTTTACGTGACAGATGGCATGAGAGATCGTTGTAGCTGCCTCAGTTCAAGTGCAAGGGTGAACTGATGATCTCTTGCTCTTTAATGCTAGTTATAGCATGAAATAAACATGAATGAACTTCAGAAGGTATGTTGAAAGAAACATTACACCTTACTGAAATGTATCACATCTCATGTAATCACTAAATCAGTGTTTCAGCCACAGAAAGATGCCAATAAACCAGCTTGTAAACAATGTCATGTAACACTGCATTTACCTCAGGAAAGCCATAAACGCGTTAAACAGGTCTATTAAAAAATTAAAAAGTAACTCTAGAGAGGAGCACTTATTAAATACATGCACTATATTACAAATGAATTATATTTACTTAACCTGCTAGTGATGTCTTTATTATTTAATGTATGTTTGGAATAAATCTGTCATGATAGTTTTTATAACAGTCATTGACTGTTATGACTTTTTTATTCCAACCAAGAGCCCTAGTGGACAAACTCCTTCATGACCAACAATTGCAATATTTAAAATGTGTCCGGCTGAAATATCGAAAAGTTGACCAGTTTACTATGACCAGTTTATCTGCCGAGTACACGATCCCCTGAACAGCATCCAGTATTCTGTTATCCAGTTACCCAAATGTAATGAAGATCTTTACACTCAAATTTAATTTAAAAGCTGAAAAAGTTTTGGTTTTTCCGCTAAATTAAAACTTTAATTTTGTTTTCGGTAAAAATGAATTGGGTGCATCACTAATAAAAAAGGCAATCCGAATGCACTATATTCTAGTACACACCCGACGAACGGTCCCCACAAATGGCACACATGCGTTTCAGGGATAGCATTGGCCCAGAGCCACTGACACTCTTCAAGCCAAAAGCGGGTTTCACATCATCAGAGCTGCTGACAGCATGTAACCCAGACACAGACATTGAGGAGTTTATCTGCATGAGATAAATAGAAAAGAAGTGATAAGAAAAACAGTCATCAGGCACACAATAAAAAAAGAAGAGTCCACAAGAACATGATGATGTCGCTCACTTGAGAGTTGCTGATGGGTCCATAGCCAACAGATGGTGTGCCGGGAATGCCAGGAGAGCCAACGGATGAGCTGACGGCTGACAGTGGCGAATCTACGGAGCTGACAGGGCTACTGACGGCAGAAGTGGAGGGCGGTATGGAGTTCATAGATACGCACTGGACTGGCCAATAGAGACGAGACTGTTGATCATTGATAATCTACTGAAACATAGATTAAAAGAGAGATGTGGACACAAAGAGGGATTTAGACACGATACACTTAGTACGATGAAACATTTCTGTAATATTCCTGGATATATCATTAAAGTCCCCAAGATGGTCATTTCCATGAAGAATGGAAAAGAAAGTAAAGCAGGTTCCAAACTCACAATATCCACCTTTTCAAATGTGTTTCCTCATGAGTATCTCAGAAAATATGTTAAAAATATTGCGATGTGTACATTAGGAAAGAAAATTTGGCATTTTGCCTGCTGTTTACTGATCTATTAATCCTGCTGCAGATTAGGCCGATGTCTAAGGTTATGTATCAAAAACTAAGGTATTGCCTACCTAGACAGCATATTGGGGACTCGTGAGAGTGTTCGAAATTTTTAAATCAGTCTATTATGACCTACAATGCAGTCTAGATAGGTAGCTTACTAGGTTCGAAACTTCGAACACGCCCATATCGCCCAAAATGCTGCCTAGGTAGGCAGCTCACTAGGTTTTGGGACGCAGCCCAAATCTGTTCCTTATAATCACCCCCACCTAAACTGACACTATCAGTGCTAATGTTTACCAACTCCGTATGAAATTGATAATATATGACTAAAATGGAAAAATCTGTGCTTAAAGCGCATCTTAACACGATAACGAACGTTATTTTGATGCTCCTGATAACGTTTGGATTATTTATTATTTGGCACGCAGCGCGGAGCCCAGCTAACATGCTAATGACGGCTAACGGACTGTTTATGATTAAAAGAAAACCATTTGGTCCAACCCTTTCACATTTAATGCCCCGTTTAAAACGCACGAACGACTATATTTACGTGTAATTATTTTGTGCGGCATACAAACACTTGTATGCTAAAACACAAATGTCGAGACGGAATAATACGGCCAGCCCGTGTTAGCTTAGCCTAGCTCGTCCAAGTGTTTGTTTGTTTTTCCGTCATTTTTACACAAGTTTGCAGAGTTTATATGAGCATATCGACTCCAGTCTCACCCATCAAACGCCGAATCCTCCAACAGCAACAATTCGTGTCCTTTAAACCATCGTTTTATCTATATTTTACAGTTTACGCCATAAATGTTGGCGTCCAGACAAATACGTTGTTAGTCAAGCCTCCTAGTGGACACTAAGAGTCTGTTCCATAAGAAATATATGCAAGCAAATAAATAAATAAACAAACAATTAAATAAATATGCACGCAGAAAAGCACTACGTGTTCTTTTGGTTATTAAAATGTGTTATTTAGTTTGAAAGCATTGGAATAACCACATCATTATTATTTAAGAATAAACAAATAACATTGGCTCTCTTTTTTTCTTTAATTATTATTTAATGCATAATAGAGAGACACCTTTTATTTTTTATTGTGAAGATATACTATACAGTGCAAATGAGAAATATCACATAAATTAAGTCAACTTAGCATCAATGACAAAGTAATTTTATGAAATACACATTTACCGTAGCTGGCACTATTGTTTTTTATTGTTAAGGTTTTTTTTTTGGAAGACAGAGAGACAAAACTGTACCTATTTTAGAAAGTATTGATGCTATAGTGATAGAAGAGCATCAGAAAGAAGAGGTTGAGGACAGAAGCAGTGAGGGTGAGGGCAGTGCTGAAGAATATAAGCCATAGGTTGTTGTGGAAGTCAGGCATATGGTTACATTATCGTATGCCAGTTTGAAAAATGTGATCCATACAATAACCAGAGGTCAGGAAACATGCCTGTGACTATTGGCATTAGCGGAGATGCTGTAATGATGACTGCACGAGTCAGAATTTATTTGACTTTCACTTGTTGCTACAATAATTGATTTGGATTTCCAAGATGAAACACTATGTTAAAGTGGTTTTAATGCTTTTGAAACACTTTCCAGGCAGTGAAATTGCACCTAATTTGTGTCAAGTTTTAGACATTTTCACGTGTGAGTTCCAAATCCAATAGAGCAGCACAAGAGGAAATGGAATGTTAATAAAGATATTAAATGAAACATTAAGACCTTTTTACTTCTTTTCAGATAGTGAAAATGCATTTGAATGTGTGTGAAGTTTCAGACAATTTGCTGACTTTGTCCCAAAATGGGACAAAGTCAATTAGGTCAGATGTAGAAAGAAAATTTTGGAAAATTATTTTAGTCCTAAATATATGTAAAATATAAAGACAATAATTTTTTTCGAACTGTGAAAAACTATTTAGTCCCATAGAGGGTTAAATAATAATTCTACATAAATATATGTACCTGTTTTATATACATTAACACACTTTTAGAAATACATATTTTATTGGTTTCCACATTTTAGCAAATTTCTCAGTTTTTGTCTTGCCATCTATATGATAATGACTCATTTCACCATTATTTGGTTAATATCTGGTTAATAATTTGGTTATATATATATATATTTATAGTTGCAGTTTTAAAACATTTCTCTTACTTTCAAAGTCAACTTCTTGAATCGCACAACAATGCAAGACAGACGCATTAATATTATTTTCTGAAAACTCAGTCTAACAAAAATATTAATCCAAATTGTTTCTAGTTTTTCACATTTCTAAAATAGTATCAGCATTTTTATGCATTATCTGTGCAACATCAGAGACATTTTAAAGTTGTATTTGCATTTACATTTAGTCATTTAGCAAACACTTTTATTATAATTGTATAAATAATAAATGAAAAGAAAACAGATAGAATACAAAAAGATTAGAAACCAAGTGTTTTTTTTTAAAAAGAAAACAAGCAGCAAATTAACAGAGTGCAAGTCTGAAAGGGACAAATTTTTTTTTTTTAAGAATAGAATTAGAATATAGAGTGCTAGAGTTAGAGGGTCAAATAAAGATGGAAGAGATGTGTTTTTAGCCGATTCTTGAAGATGGCTAAGGACTCAGCTGCTCGGATTGAGTTGGGCA